GTATAAAGACAAATATCCCCCATATAGCCTTAACATACTTTCGGGGCAAGTGCTGTTGACGACCACCTATGAATGTCGACACGGCACGCGAGGCGGTGGGTGGCCAGAACCACGCCCGGGCACCTTTGTCTCCCCAGTGGCGATGCTTACACACCGCACCAGGGTACTCATTTGAGGCGGAGTCGACCTAGGGGAGGCCCAGGACTGGTCCAGTTATGTTGGCTGTGAGCGGGAATCGAACTGGGACGGGCGGGTTCGTAGCGCAGTGCAAGAACGACTGCCGCTGTGAGCCGCCACTCCCAGCCAGCACACGACAGCACCCGGGGGGGGGGGGGGTCAATGTGGAGGAAGCCGTCTCCTCCTCCTGGCCCATCCACGCCCCCAAACACACACACCCACAACACAAAGACAAAGACTCCCCGTGTAGCCTGAGCACGCCGTGGGGGCAAGTGCTGTTAGCGAGCGGCTATGAAGGCCGTCACCGCGCACGACGGGGTGGGTGACCAGCACAACGCCCGGCTTCCTTTGTCTCCCCAGTGGCGATGTTTGCCCACCGCACCCAGGTATTCTTTTGAGGCTGAGTCGACCTAGAGGAGGCCCAGGACCGGATCAGTTCAGTTTCAGTTCAGTTTAATTTATTAGGATTTACCCTGTGAGCCGTTCGGCTCTTGATTTGGGTTCAACCGCAACAAACAATAGAATTACAAGATACACCTAAAATTAATTGTACACAAATCTGAACATCACATAATCGTCACTGGGTGTTGGCCGTGAGCGGGAATAGACCTGGGGTGGCCGGGTTCGTAGGTCAGCGCACTAACGGTAGCACTAGCACACACGCACCGCCATACACAACAGCAGCAGCAGTCACCATTCGCCGCTAAGTGGCGGTGACGTCCACACAGCGCTAGGTGCAAGTTGAGGCCAGGTGAAGAAGTGTGGTCTGTCCCGTGGCAGGTCACGGGACAGACCAAAGTGTTGTGAGTTAACCGACTGAAAATGACTGACAGATGCACAACATGCGTGCTCCCCACTGTGCAAACTTTCAAAGTTTTAGCCGCCCGGCGTTCTGCTCGTTATTTTTTGCGTCGCTCCTCCGCCCTGTTTTGTTGTTGGGAGGGTGACAGCCTCCAACTTCCCAGTAGCGTCCTTCACGAGCCTCCACCACAGAGGCCGATCTTGACACCGCTGGTATCAGTCATCGGCAAGTTCACTCTGCTCTACTCCTCCAGTACCACATCGGCCCATCTCTTCTCTAGCCCGTACCGAGCCCGTTTAGCTACACCTATCTGGCCAAACAGAAGCCAGATAGGCATGAGATGGTTGGGCATTCAGGTTGCACGACCCAGTCAACGCAGCCTTTCAAGCCGGAGTTCACTGATTGGATTGTATCCACACCATTCAAGGATCATAACACAATCCAGTCTCTGGTTAAACTCAAGACCGTAAGCAGGCCAAACCTGAATGTTTAAAACTGACACAGATGTTCCTTTAAAGGGGTCCGCGTTTCACAAGCATAAATAAGGGAAGGAATAACTGGCAAACACGCTTCGTATGGCGCAACAGCCCAGGTAGCTAGCTCCACACGTGATTACGTAACTGATTAAATAAAATATACTGCCGCTTGAATGATTTGGAGTGAGACCACTGCCAAATCGGAGCTAGTTTTAAGCACACTGCACGGATATGGAAACTCCTTCACTCTCTCCAAAACTGTCCCATCGCTCATGGGGAGTTGATGGAGGGAAGTATTTGATGACATAAAATTCAGAGGCAGGTATTGTACATTGTTTTGTGAGTCTGATGGTAAGGCCCCACCTCTGTGGCACAACAGTGGATAGAAGTCTCTAACTGCATATCAAAGTGAGCAGCATTTGCCAGATCATCAACAAGCATACAATGGATGACCAATAGGGAGCCATCACTTGGGCATCGATTAGCCTCCCATATCTGTACCAGATTGAAGTTAAAACTATTGGGAGCTTCTTGAACTACGTGGTAAAACAGATGTTGAATAGTGTCGTTGCCAGAGGACATACCTGTTACACCCCAAGGTGAACAGGAAATGGCTCTGACTGACTCCCGGTCACGCAGCTCTATCCAAGCTTGTCCAACATCACGAAGGCCCTTAATGATTGTGAGCCGAGAGACCAGGGACCCAAAAAGCACGAACAACCTCCGTACATACACACACAACCACACAAAACACACAATAACATCCACACTAACACACACAACCACACAAAACACACAATTACATCCACACTAACACACACACAACCACACAAAACACACAATAACATCCACACTAACACACACACAACCACACAAAACACACAATAACATCCACACTAACACACACACAGACATACAAAACACACAATTACATCCACACTAACACACACACAACCACACAAAACACACAATAACATCCACACTAACACACACACAGACATACAAAACACACAATTACATCCACACTAACACCCACACAACCACACAAAACACACAATTACATCCACACTAACACACACACAACCACACAAAACACACAATTACATCCACACTAACACACACACAGACATACAAAACACACAATTACATCCACACTAACACACACACAACCACACAAAACACACAATTACATCCACACTAACACACACACAACCACACAAAACACACAATAACATCCACACTAACACACACACAACCACACAAAACACACAATTACATCCACACTAACACACACAACCACACAAAACCACAACAATTACATCCACACTAACACACACAACCACACAAAACACACAATTACATCCACACTAACACACACACAACCACACAAAACACACAATTACATCCACACTAACACACACACAACCACACAAAACACACAATACATCCACACTAACACACACACAACACACAAAACACACAATAACATCCACACTAACACACACACAACCACACAAAACACACAATTACATCCACACTACACACACACAACACACAAAACCACAATTACATCCACACTAACACACACCACAACCACACAAAACACACAATACAATCCACACTAACACACACACAACCACACAAAACACACAATAACATCCACACTAACACACACACAACCACACAACAACACACAATAACATCCACACTAACACACACAACCACAAAACACACAATTACACAAAACACACAATAACATCCACACTAACACCCACACAACCACACAAAACACACAATAACATCCACACTAACACACACACAACCACACAAAACACACAATAACATCCACACTAACACACACAACCACACAAAACACACAATAACATCCACACTAACACACACAACCACACAAAACACACAATAACATCCACACTAACACACACACAACCACACAAAACACACAATAACATCCACACTAACACACACACAACCACACAAAACACACAATAACATCCACACTAACACACACACAACCACACAAAACACACAATAACATCCACACTAACACACACACAACCACACAAAACACACAATAACATCCACACTAACACACACACAACCACACAAAACACACAATTACATCCACACTAACACACACACAACCACACAAAACACACAATAACATCCACACTAACACACACACAACCACACAAAACACACAATAACATCCACACTAACACACACACAACCACACAAAACACACAATTACATCCACACTAACACACACACAACCACACAAAACACACAATTACATCCACACTAACACACACACAACCACACAAACACACAATTACATCCACACTAACACCACACAACCACACAAAACACACAATAACATCCACACTAACACACACAGACATACAAAACACACAATTACATCCACACTAACACCCACACATCCGGACAAAAGATAAACGCTGCAAATACCCCCAAGGTAATTATCCGCCTTATAAGCCTTCACGGACTTTCGTGGCAAGTGCTGTTCGTGAGCACCTATGAAGGCAAGCACGGTATAAGAGGGAGTCCGGTAGGTGGCCAACACCACGCCCGACCGCCTTTGTCTTCCCAACGGAAATGTTTACACACTGCACCCGGCACTTATTTGATTATCTGAACGACAAGTTCAGATAATCGTCACCAATTTTGGCCGTGAGCGGGAATCGAACTCGGGTAGCCGGGGGGGGGGGTCGTAGCTCAGTGCGCTAACCACCCCCCACACACATAAAGACCCCAAGTTGTAGCCTTAGAGCAGCCGATTGGGGCGAGTGCTGTTTGGGAGCACTCATCATCATCACAAGCCTCGCAACACGCGCGCGCGCGTAGCCGCCGTCCTCCACCCTCCCTCGCCCCGTGAGTTGCCCCCCACTACCCCCCCCACCACCACCACCCCCACCACCCCCCCACCACCACCACCCCCACCACCCCCCCACCACCACCACCCCCACCACCCTCCCACCACCCTCCCACCACCCCCCCACCACCACCCCCCCCCCCACCACTACCCCCACCACCACCCCCACCCCACCACCACCCCCACCCCACCACCCCCCCCCACCACCCCCCCCCACCACCTCCCCCCCCACCACCCCCCCCCCACCACCTCCCCCCCCACCACCTCCCCCCCCCACCACCCCCCCCCCCCCACCCCACCCCCACCACCCCCCCCCCTCCACCACCCCCCCACCCCCCCACCCTCCACCACCCCCCCACCCTCCACCACCCCCCCACCCTCCACCACCCCCCCACCCTCCACCACCCCCCCACCCTCCACCACCCCCCCACCCTCCACCACCCCCCCACCCTCCACCACCCCCCCACCCTCCACCACCCCCCACCCCCACCCTCCCCACCCCGTGCGCACCGCGTCACGGCCACGGTCGCGTTCCGGCTCCGTGGCTCCGGCTCCGGCGCGCCTTCCGCGGCTCCGCTCCGCGTCTTCCGCGCTCCGCTCCGCGTCTTCCGCGGCGCCGCGCTCTTCCCTCCGCGCAAACCAATCGCCATTGCTCGTCGTCGTCGTTGTTTATGAGCCCCGCGCTGAAGGCGAAGTTGACTCCGCTCGCGGGCACGCCGGAGTCGCTCTCTCCCCTCCCCCTCCCTCTCCACCTCGTCCACACCGCTATCTTCTGTCTTCGACGACGTCGTTATCGGCGGCGGTATCGTCCGTCGAGAAGAATTACCGCGGGATTTGTAATCATCGTTTCGTGAGCAGCGACGGTGAAGAGACACGCGGCTGCCGGGAGGTGGTGGCCACGACTTGAGGGCGGCGAGGGGGTTCAACATCATCATCGGAAAGCTTTCCTCATCATCCTCTTATCTTCTCGCCTCATTTCCCTCCTTCATCTTCTTGTTCCTTCATCGTGACCGCGGCTGTGACCGCAACGGAGGCTGATTCAGCTCCCGGGTCGGAAAAAATCGGAGCAGCCGCTGTGGATTTACATTTTTATTTTTTTCGGAAGGTTGTGGTTGGTGGTGGCGGTGGTCGTGGTTGTTGTTGTTGTTGTTAGTCTCTGCAGTGTACTACAGCCTCTGGTTCGACCATTTGCGGCGTGCGTGTTGCACAGAGACCCTCACCGACAACTCGAGGAGGTTGAACTCAGGAGGAGGATATCGCACGAGTCTGAGGTGTGAAGTAGTCTCATCGTGATGGTGTTACTACTACGACTACTCTAGGACTCGGGGGTGGGTTGGGGAGAGACTCGGTTCGTTCATCTGCCTCGCCTGGACACGTACCACACCGGGACCCTTTCGACACGAGCAGCATTCGTGAAGTGAGCGAGCGTGGTGGGACACGTCCAGTGTGTGTGCAGCATTGTCGAGGAGGAGGAGGAAGAGGTTCGTTACGAGCCCCCTGTCCTTTGAGGGAGAAGTGAGGCAGGGAGGAACGTCAAAGAGAGTCAGGAGAGGGGACACGGACGACACCAGCAGCAAGAGGAGGACACGGCAGCGTCTTTGCTGTGGCTGGAACACGGTGGAGTGAGTAGGAGGAGGAGGATAGGGGCCCATCGGTGGGGACTGCATCATCGACGACAACAACAACACCACCGATCGATCTACCTCATCGTCGTGGGCCTGTGCAGTGAGGAGGGCTGTGGAGCCTTCTCGGCTGGATGCGAGCATGAAGCCCGGCACACAGGGCCGACGCATCGTGGCCGCCTTCACCGTGGCGTGGCTGCTCGCGTTGCTGGCCCCATCGCCCACCTCGGCCATCAGTGAGTTAACGGAGAGGGGGGCCCCTGTGGGGAGGGAGATGGGAGCTGGAGATTGGTTGGGGTTCTCTGTGGCGTGAACACGCGATGATGATGATGTTGTTGTTGTTGAGAGGCTCCACGTACACGCGAGTGGTTGTGTGTGTGTGTGGCCTTTGCCCCATCAACCCACCTCGGCCATCAGTGAGTAATTACTAATTCGGGATTCAGAGAGAGCTAAATCGGATTGGAGATTGGTGGTGTCACACGTGTTGAGGAGCCCCTAGGCACACGTGAGAGAGGGCTGTGTGTGTGTGTGTGTTCTGACCGCATCAACCCACCTAGGTCATCGGTGACTAATGCGATCACTAAGTAGGGATGCAAGGACAGGGATGGAGGGATGGAGGTGGGGATTAAAGGTGTCACTTGCACACGAACAGTGTTGTTGACGTGCTCCGCATGAGAGTGCTGCGTCAGTGTGTGTGCGCGTCTTGGCCGCGTGTGATCCAGCGATTTGGAGGAAAGGGTTGGTGGGTCACGTCGAGATTTGTGAACCATCCTCGCTGCCCGTTGGCCAGGGATGGCAGTGCAGCTCAGTGAGTTCGTGAAACCCGTCTGTGCAAACCTTTACATGTTCACGATTGAGGCTTTGATAAAAAAAACTAATGAATTGTAATGTTCAGTGTAGTGATTAACTCCCTTATGCATGCAAGACACGACAGTATTAACAAGGCATTGGTCAAATATCCCAAATGCAGGGCCTCCCTGAAAAACAGTTCAGTGTATCCAGGTGAGAATGCATTGAGCCTTACAAGTATCGTTTTCAAGAGTGGCCTGGGTCAACAGTTCACACATCTTTGAGGCTCATTTTATTCTGGATAAGTGAGTGATATTCCTGATGTAATTTATATTTAAAAAAATATTTTATCGTGGGATTGAGCGGTGGTGCAGTAGTTAATGCACTTCCTATACATCCCGGGCCATGACTAATCACAGTGGTAAGTGATATCTGAACCGGACCTGGGTCCCACACCCCACACCCTTAAATTCACCAAACCTCACCGATCATCATGGTGAAGTGTGGTCAGGCAAACCCCGTGACTGACACGGTGTGGCAAGGCTTTCATCCAGCAGTCGATTGACAAGGCTGCCCATTACGTCTCATTGGAATATAAGATCATTGTTTTGTGTCTTGAATTTCCATACCAACGTTTGGTAATTCAAGACACTACCAGTTAAGTGTCACACTTGGTCATATCCGTCCACATGTTTATAACAGTTCTTACACAGCGTTACCTAAATATGTTGCAACAGTTTTACCATCTCTGTATGACTTGCCCAATCTTTTCCAGGCATATTAGAATGTATCCATTCGGTCACTTTGGGAGGACCATTGTCTTAAACGTCGGTCCATCCAGACGGTGGTGGTCTAGTGTGGATGGTGAAGTGTTCTAGAAGTCTGGTGGGGTTAGGGCTCGTTGGAGTCGTTTGGATGGAATTCCTTAATTGCTGCTGTTGGATTTCGTCATTATTCATTGACTGATGTCATTTACGCAGGTAAGAGGCCTTAGATATTGGTCCCTTATATATACCATATATAGTTGCGCTGAAAAGAGGTGTGAGGGCCTGTTGAAATACTTGTTAGCCTTCTGCAACAAGGATATTAACCACCGACGCTCAAGCATTACGGCAAAGTGGCAGCCAAGGAATGAAACGCACCTAAGAAGGACACCCACCGCGGAGAGATGGAACGATGGAATAGGCCATTGTACAGAGCGATAAATAGGCCGTTGCGTTATACGACCGTGAGAGATGGCGACAGCTTTCGGAGGCCGTCATCTAGCAGTGGAATTATCAATACTTGCTGTTGATTCATTGAGCAGAGGGAGAGGCTGACTTTGACCTGTTGCTTTACTGCCCTTGTTAAGTCACCGTGCCCTTTGGGGGGGGGGGGCGAACGTGGAGCCCAACAGGTGTGGCAAGGAGTCGAGATAAGATTTCTGTTGCTTCCTGCTTGTTATTCTGTTAAGGACGGGTTATGCAACTGTGTTTATTGAGGGGTTAAGGGAAGAAAAACAAGAGAATTGAAATGGTGAGTGCGTGTACAGGAAGTGGGTGTGTGCACCCATGTCACGGTGATATGTAAGACTCGCATCGGGCAGACTCACCAGCAAGCCCTGCAGGTGAATAACTCGCAACTCTGATTGATTTCATCATGAAAGTGGGAGGGAGGAGGAGAGCTGTGTGGCTCAGGACACTCTTTAATCCCAGTCAAACAATTACCATCACGTGATATGAGCACAGCCATTCACAATTAGGCTGGGTATGATACCTGGGTCCCAAACCCAACACAGCAAAATTACTGTTGTGACGGTTCCACCTGAAGACGGAAGCTTGTGTTGCCTCCGAAACGTCGTGATTTAATTTATTTTAACGTGACTTTACCGAAAAAAACAAAGAGTATGAATCCTTGCAGTCACGAAAACTTCAAATCTAGAACTTGTGATGATACTAGCCTACCCCTACCCAACCCCCTAACTGAGATACAAAGTCAAGTTTATATTCGTCAAATAGCAAATGTGTTTTTTCTGCAGCGAGGTTGCCCTTGGTTGAAGGAAGTGCCCGTGTATTATTGTGCTTGTTTGAGTTGTCTCGTGTGTGATTGATGTTTGGCACGCCCCTTTGTTTAAGGGTCCCACGGTGGCTAGGAAATGTTAACTACCTCGCTTGCTTTGCAGGAGGTCGGGGGTTCGAACCCGACTCTGATGCCCGCTGTATATTTGGAGTTTGTGTGTTCTCCCCGTGGTTGCGTGGATTTTTATGTTGCTATAAATGGCCAAATAATGAGCCACTTTGTTGATCTATCATTTGTGGCCAGTTCGCTTTTGAACAATAAGTTAATACCTCGACGGTCTTTGTCTGGTAGGATGGAGTTTATTTTTATGTGTTTGGGTGATTTGTTTACCTTTCATGTACCTTGCACTCCTATATCATGTTCTTGTTTTGTTGTAACGTTCCTACCCCGTGCCCCTACTGAACATCTGTGAAAATAGCTTTATACCTCATCGGATTCCTCCAGTATAAATAAACAAAATATTCTGATTCAGTTTGGCCCCACGTACAAGGTAGATTTTTCAAGAACTGCAATGCGTTCCTGCCCTTGGGTCGCAGGCGCAGTAGATCACGGCAGAGATCCGTCGGTTTTGTAGGCAATGGTTGGTGGATCACGGAGAGATTTACGAGAGCCACCAAAGGTGTTTGGGCTCTAGCCAAATGGCAAGGAAATGGAAAGTACAGCAAGTGGGGTTGTGAACCCCATCCGAACTGACCTGTCGTGAATGTTGTCGCTTCGTATGCGTGGCAGGGTTTTCTCCAGGCACCCTGGTTTCCTACGATATGCAAAACATTATTTTGAAAGGAATTGGCCAAAATCCCAAAGCAGGACAAGCCTAAAAAACAGTTTTGAGCCGTAGAGAGTCTTTCCTGTGTAAATACATTACATAATCGTTTCAGTTTTTTTAATACACATTGAAGCCCTCTCACTGAGCAGTGCTCGGCCAATTGAATTTCCTTTATTATTTTTTGATGTTAATGGTAATAACGATGATGATGATGATGATCAAAACGAGACGGTAGTTTAGGCGATGTTATTTTTCCACCCCGCAGTCGCTTATCAAGTTTACATATCTCTGACGTCGAGAGTCCAGGTCACGTGACTTGATTTGTGTTCGCTAAGCGAGCACACACACACCCTCCTTACCAAAGGCAAAGATCCCCCCACCCCGTGTAGCCTCAACAGATTGTTTTGGGGCAAGTGCTGTTAGCGAGCACCCTATTGAAGGTCAACACGACACACGAGGGGGCTAGGTGGCCAGCGCCCGCCCCCGGCCGCCTTTGTCTTCCCGCTGCTAATGTTTACACATCGCACCAGGTACTCATGTACTAAGGCAGAGTCGACTTAGGGGAGGCACTAGACCGGTTTTTCTATTCGTCACCGATGTTGGATGTGAGCGGGAATCGAACTCGGGTCGCCAGGTTTGTAGCGCAGTGTTCAAACAACTGCACAACGACCATTCATTCCCCTTATCCCCCCATACACACACCCGACTTACCCCCCCACACACACACTGCTTTAAGCAAGCACCTATAAAGGTCGTCACTGCATAAAGGTTGGGCAGCATCAACAACGTGCGCGCCTCACTGCCATTGTTTCTAACACACCGGCTCGACATTGTAGGCTGAGTCGACCTAGAGGAGAACCCAAGCCACTGACAAGAGCCCCACATTTACACCAAAGATACGACGACAGTGACCCAAGTTTAGTCGTATAAACTGTGAAAACACCTGAACCGCGGGGCCAAAAGTGCTGTTAGCTCACACTCTATTAAGGCCGGAACGGCACCCAAGGAGGTGGTGTGGTGTGGGCGGCCACAACGCCCTCGCCGCCGCTGCCTTTGACCTCCCCCAGTGCCCTCGCTCCCTGAACCTCCACAGGCCTGGAGACTGCTGGGATGGGTGCTCGCCAACAGCACCCGCCCTCAACAGTCCGCTTTTTCCCTCCACGGTTAAGAAACACGCGTTGAGATTATTTATATGTAAATTGGCCGCTATAAATGTCCGCATGATGATAAGCCACTTCGTTGAGCTATCATTTGTGGCCAGGTCGCTTCTGACAAAAAGAAGCCAATTGCTCGGTGGGCCTTACCTGGTAAAATAAAAATAGATAATGTTTTAGTGATGTGTTTACCTTTGCTATACTTTCCACTCTTATCGTTTTTTCGTATTTGTTGTCATGACTTTGTGACCTGCCCCTACTGAAGACCTGTGAAAAGAGCTTCATAGCTTATTGGGATTCCTCCTGCAGTCTAAATAAATATTCTGATTCTGGAAAGAGCTATTGTCAGGCATTTCGTAACGTCAGTGGACGCAAATACACGGGGGCATGGCCCGAACAATACAAGTGTCAGTGCTGTGTGCCTTTTCATCTGTGGGCCATACACGTGGATTGTATTTGTGTACACGTG